CTTGACGCTGATGGGGTCTTCCGTTGCACCTTGGGTGGCGCTCGTGTACCCGGTCGCCTTCTTGCAGGGGGGAACTTGTAGCGCTCAATAAGCCCTATTAAAGTATAAAAAAGAAAACTTATATGAAAATAATAAATATCTGTAATTAAATTGCAATAATTCATGAATAGGCCCTGCAGAAGCAGACAGGCTGCTTCTCTTCCTTCGGTAAGTAAACTTGTCTTCATTAGAGTATATAACATGAAGATCCTAGGCTCTCAAAGATTGCAGGACATCTTTCAATAATGGTGCTCTCAGCTATCACCATTTCGCTTGAACTGTAAAGGCATTAACAACACTTTAAAATAAGTCATGAAACAGATTTTGGGAATTATGTCTCATCAAACACAGACCCTTACCCTATTGGTGGTGTATTTGAGTCGCTCCTCGGCCTCTTTCTTAGAGAATTGAATTCCCTTGCTTTCCCTCATCCTTATGAATCCCTCAATAATAAGCTGTAAAAAGATAAAGGAGTAAAACAACAATATGGTAATATTTTCTGTGAACTCAAATCTTTTAGCTACTTCTAATTACATTGAAAGACAGTTAGAACTCACCTGAGGCATTAAAACTCCATATATAAATTTACGGTTATCGCAATATTTATATTTAAATTTTTCCAGAAACGTGGAAAGGAAAAGATAGAATTCAAATGACTGAAAATAAATACCCAAAAAATATTAGGTTAACAATCCAGGAGAAACTAGTAACATCATACCCCGTAGATCACACATTCACACATTTCATTTCAACTCACCAATTTTTCAAAGTTGGTAAAAGGACCCATTGTCTCATCTTCTGTGAAGATTAAACCGTTTGTCCAATCTTGGTAGCGTTTACATTCAACTATGCCTTTACAGATTATGTGCATGTGAATTTGCCCCGCCTTGCTCTGTGCAAACTGCATAATAGCCTTGCACTCAGCTTCAAATTCTTCCTTATCCTAAAAATACCAAAGATTCAAAAATATTACAAGGAACATTTATATAATTATTTTTAAAAAAAGTTGTTTAGAATTTCACCTTATTAGTCCACACCATATGTTCAGGAAGTGTTTCAAACTCCAGCCTGAGCTCTTCTCTCCTCCTTGCTTCATCATATGGTGGGGAGAGGGGTTCTGCCAACTCATGTACATCTATAAAGAAGAAATATGTTGCATAAAATCTGTTTAATCTAGCACAAATTTTCATTTGATAGTTTACCTTCTGTCCTTGCTTCATCATATGGTGGGGAGAGGGGTTCTACCAACTCATGTACATCTATAAAGAAGAAATATGTTGCATAAAATCTGTTTAATCTAGCACAAATTTTCATTTGATAATTTACCTTCTGTCCCATCGGAACAATACTCCAAAATAATAACTTCCTCATCAGTTGATAAGCTGTGATCTGAAATAAAAGAAGACTTTTATTCGAACTAGTTCTAGCGAAGTTCTGCTTATTGAAAGGTAAGACTTGGGTTGGGTAAAAATGCAAAAAAGAAAAATGTGGGGAAAACATGTTAGGCTAAAAATGTTTAACAACATCTTTGACTCCCAAACATTTTAACACCCAACAAAATTATTAGTCTTTAGAAATGTTTTTCCCCTTTGAAATTAGTTCAAACAAGCCTGGACTTTGGTGGGAAGGCTGCCTGCCAAAATACAACTGAAAGCATACCTTCATCTTCAATGGTGACCACTGCTGGAGGAGTTACTGAAGGACATTCCATGTCAACTGATAGACAACCTGCTGGAAGAACAATCATATCCTTAGTAATATCAATAAGTTCAGTCAGGGTAAGACTTCACTGAAAAGTTTAACACAATAATGAGGCCTCTGAAATTATGTAGAGGTAAATCATGACTAGCAGGTAAACCAAAACGTTATGGCTTAGGCTCTGTAATTGTAACCCCCTTTGATATTTTCACTCAAGCCTGACCTCTTCCTTTACCATATATTAAAAATAAAAATTGCAATTCAAAAACTTACTTTCGTCTTGTATGGTCACCACTGGAGGAGGGTCCACGGTACGGGGCTCGGGGTTCACCTTCTTTAT